TTACTATATTTTAAATTGGGCTTTGTTAGTACTTTAAAATACATATTTCAAAGATTTTTTCCCCCCTCCAGCAAAATGTTGAAGGATACCAGTTCACACAATACTTTCATTAGAACCTTAAAGTCTGTTTAGTTTTATAATAGTATTTGGCTCCTAATAGTTGAGTATAAATGTTAAAAATATATGAGGGTAATAATTTATTTCAATGTGGAAAAAATTTAGTTTGTCAGGGCATGCAAAAAAAATATGCTTGATAAACATGAGATGAAAAATGCCACTGATAAAATTTTTAGTCCAGAAAGTGTTGTATAATCATGGTGTTGTAAAGACCAATTTTTCTAAACTAGCACTTGATAAAGTAAGTAAAGCTAATGAAGGGAAGAAAACTGTAGACTGTATATTGAGCTCTGTTTTACTATGGCTGCTATGTTTGTTTGTTTAGACCAACTCATTTTTTCTGTAAGACATTGGAGTTGTATTAGAAAATCCTTGAAATGAATAATTGAGTTGTTACTTGAAATAACTGTAATCGTTCCCTTTATATGAGATTCATTTTAACTAATCTAAAACCTTGTGTTTACCATATTTAAGCCTAAAACCTATGTCCCAATTTTGCAAGGAAATTTGATTTTAAGCTTTTTTTTAAAGCAGTTTTTATTGAAGTATACATTACAGAGAAGTAGAAGTTATAGGAGTATAGCGTGAAATACCATACAGTGATCACATATAACCAACACCATAATCAAGAAAAACTACATTATTGGCACCCCAGCTCCCTGTGTGTCTCGGGAGAATGCTTACCCACCAACCAACCAACCACTGTCCAAAGCCATAGGTAAGTTACATTTTGTGTGTGTGCGCCTCTTTGTATTTTTTTTCACTTCTGGAACCTTCATCAGTGTTTAACATCTCAAAAAAATAATATTTAGTCAACTGAGGAAAAATTGAAGACCCTTTTCTATATATAGAAATGACAAAGCTCTGTGTTAGTGACAGGATTCCCTGTCATCCAGATACCAAACTGGGCCCCACCCTCACTTCCCCAAGAAATCAGAAGACCCCACCTTTCTTTATTACATCGCTCACACATAATGAGACTGTTTAGACCACATGTGTCAAACACAAGGCCCGAGGGCCAAATCCGTCCCGCCCGGCCTTGCAGTGTGGCCCGCACCGCGCTGTCATCACTGCACTCCGCTGCGTTTCCATCACAATGACAGTTTATGACTGTTCAGTAAACCATTCGGCCCGCGATTTAGGCTGGATTTTAGATTTTGGCCCCTTCTCTGATTGAGTTCGACACCCCTAGTTTAGACTAAAGGACAACTAACATTATAGAAGCAAGGAGACTAAGTGACCCATAGTCTTTCCCTATTCCCAAATACCACTTAGTCATGAACGAGTGCAGAAACCCTAGGACAAAAGGCATTGTGAACATTCCTTTGCCACTGTGGCCCTCTGGTGGTATAAATGAACCTGAGATTGATGATTTTGTTTGCTTATCCTCAAGGCTAAATTAGTTAGAGGAGCTTTAGTAAACTAACCCCTGGAAAAAGTCCGATCCAAACTTCTCTTTGTTTCCCTGGCACCCTTGTCCATTCTGAGTTGTTTGGAAATGTAGACAAAGAAAACAAGACTCTTTTTTTTTGGCTTTACATCACACATCTATTGAGTCAGAAACTCGGGGGGTGAGGTCCAGAAATCTATGGCCTGCCATGTGATTCAGGTGATCAAACACACTGGTCCATTCTCACTGATTTTATCACCCACAGCTTTTCTTGGAACCATCCCCTCTGTTTTCTTGACTAAAGCCTAAATTTAAACCCCTATGCCCTCTTTCCTGAATTTTACAACCCTAGCTGGCTCTTTGAAATCAATCCAGTCTACACAAGTCTGCTGGAAAATATTCCCAAGGAAGATCTCGGGCCATTTCACTTTCCTACACAAAATCCTCCCTGTTCAACCGCAAAGGAAAGCCTTCCAAAGTTGGACCCTAACTGTATCTTGTCCTTAATAATAATCTCCACAACCTGTGCCAATATGCACTTTCATTACCTTCCTTCAAGTTGCCCCTTCCTGTTTCTGCATGTCCAAACCATTCCTTAACTCCCAGTTTGAAGCTCTCCCCCACCTCATGCTGATCCTCTTATCTTTCTGCTGTGAATTCCCAACACATTTAGTTTGTAACTCTCTTATGGTACACATCACTTTCTATTTTGAGACATAGTCCTTTAGGGAAGTTTCTATGGTCTCATTGTAAGACAGTCTTTAGGACCCAACTTTGTATTCACATTGTTACCTATCTGTGCTAATACTGGTAAGAGCCAGTGAAATTTTTGAGTAGGAGCCATTGAAAAATTAAAATCTCAACTGAAAAAAGTAGTATCAAATTATTTTTTGAATGTATAAAATCTCATAAAGTTTTCCTAAGCTTTTTGTGACTTTTCTCACATTTAACAATATTAGTTATTTAATATTAAAAGAGAAAAATGAATGTTCTTCAAAACTTAAGTGAATCTTTTTTCTATTTGATGTATCTTTTCTCCATAAACAAGGTTTCTCATTTCACTGTGGCAAGTCCCAGCGTTTAATTATTCAGTGTTGTTTATTCATTAGTGAAGATGACAGTTTTCTGTGTGGACACATCCATCAAAAGGGCTCCTTGATACAAGTGTTTTGTTCATGAAGCCCTATAGTCTTTATCTGGCCTTTTATTTCATTAAAAAAATAAGTGATGCATACTTTTTTTTTTTTTTTTTTTAAGTGGGAGGGATATTAGTGTCTAAACTTTGGGTACCCCAAATCAATCAAGGCAAAGGAAGTTAGGGCACATTTGCTGTCTCCTACCTACTGGCTTTCATTCCGATCACATTAAAATATAGTGTTCCTTCATATGAATGGATTTCTCATGAATATCATCTGGAGAGCTTGTTACAAAAAAGTTTCAAGACCTACCCAAATTCAGACCCTTTGGAATTGGGTTTCTTTCTGTCTTTTAAAAAATATATTTTTATCGATTTAAGAGAAGAAGAACAAGAAGGAGAAGGAGAAGGAGAAGAAGAAGAAGAAGAAGAAGAAGAAGAAGAAGAAGAAGAAGAAGAAGAAACAACATCAATGATGAGAGGAGAGTAAGGAATTTGCTGCTTCCTCTGCACCTCACACTGGGGAATGAGTTTGCAACCTGGGCATATGCCCTGTCCCGGAATCCAACCGTGACCTCCTGGCCCATAGGTCAACATTCAACCACTGAACCACAATGGCCAGACTGGAGCTGGATTTCTAAGAATCTTTTTTTAATTAAACACCCAGATGATTCTTATACATCCTGAAGTTTGTAAATTTTTTTCCTCTTCTAAATTCAAACAAAAGCAGAGACCCTTATAAGAATTGCCGAAGTGTACTTAAACCAAGAGGGTTGAGAGACTGCTTATCTTCTCTCCTGACTCAAAGTGTCTCTTTTTTTTTTTTTTTTTATAACTTTTACTCGATGTTTTATTTTGACAATGTTCAAACACTCAGAATAAGCTATGGCTTTACTACAAGTCTATCGTCTTATCCATCAATAAATTTCAGATGTCTGTAGTGTCTCATTTGGGATGGTGGTGACTTGAAGAGCAGGACTGAATCCTTGTAGCCTTGGTGAAAACACAGTGGCTTCATTTTATTGGACAGAATCAGTGACTGCTTGGCCTCACAGCACATTTAGAATGCATTTAATCAAAGACAGAAGGATAGCTTTGGCTGGCTGGGCACAACCCCTGCTAAGTAATGTCTACTTGTCTCTATTCATTTGAATGAGAGCTTTTGTTTTGTTTCTGGAAGAAAAAAGGGAGGTTTGGGAGAGAAGATAAGCATGGAGGAAGGTGGCAGCAGTTACCCCTCTCCTCTTCCATGGAAGGATGGGTTAGAAGTTGAGGTTTTGCTGGCTTATTTGTCAACCGCAAGATTCCAAGTACCCTAGTCTTTCATTCCCACTGACCCTGGATGTTTGGTCTGGGATATGATCCTCAGACTGTTGGCCTCACTTATTTCATCTGTAAAATGGAAGCAATAATATATATTATATTGGTGTGAAGAAAAATATGTGTGCCTCATGTAATTTAATCAGTTTCTGGTGCTAAAATATAATTACATTCCTTGATGAGTTTCCATAAATTCACAGAAAATTAATGTGATTGCAGCAGCTGAACAAGAAAAACTAAACTAAATGATGTTGATGAATAAACCTAAAAGACATTAAGAGATGCAGAAGGTAATATGCCTCAAAGTCCTTCCAGACAACCCATTTCACTTAAATTCAATTTCTTCACTTGCCCTTTAGGGTCCCCTAGAGGCCCCTACATTATCTGGCCTTTTCCTACATCTCCAATTTCATCTCTCCTTCTCCCTGGCTTAGTCTTTGGTTTCAGAATGAGCAGGACCTGTGTACCTGCTATTCCTGTGAAAGCTTCTCCCAAGATCTTTTTTTCCCCCCTTTCCCCAGATCTTTTGTTTATTTATATTTTTAAATTGAGTTTTGAGAGAGAAACATTGATTTGCTGTTCCCACTTATTTATGCATTCATTGTTTGATTTTTTTTTAATGGATGACTACTTTAAAAAAATTTTTTTTATAATGTATTTTATTGATTTTTTACAGAGGAAGAGAGAGAGAGAAAGAGCTAGAAACATCGACCAGCTGCCTCTTGCACACCCCCCACCGGGGACCCGCAACCAAGGTACATGCCCTTGACTGGAATTGAACCAGGGACCTTTCAGTCCGCAGGCCGACGCTCTACCACTGAGCCAAACAAGTTTCGGCTCATTGTTTGATTCTTGTACAAGCCGGGCTGGGGATCAAACCCACAACCTTGGCCTGTGGAGCCCATGCTCTCAGCTGTGTCACCCAGAGGGGGATCCCCAGATCTCTACGGGGCGCGTGACGAGTGGGAGCGGCCTATTGGCGTCAGGGGGCGGGGCCGGGGGCGGGGCCGGGGAAGGGGTGTGGCCCGCCGGATGTCCAGGCGGGGGCCCCGGAAGTGACGGCTCCACCCAGGGTGGGGGGAAGCCTGGAGTCGGTGAAGTCCGCGCCACCACCATCGCCGCGGTCGGTCGCTGTGTTCCCCGGCCTGGGCGATGGAGAACGGAGCCGTGTACCGCCCCACCACCGAGGAGGACCCGGGCCCGGCCAGGGGCGCCCGCAGCGGCCTCGCCGCCTACTGCAACCTGGGCCGGCTGCCCCTGACCCAGCGCGTGCTCAAGGGCTTGCAGCTGGTAAGTCCCGGCCGGGGGGCGGGCCGGGCGGGCGGGCGGGCGGGGAGGGCTCCGGGCTCCGGGCCCGATCCTGGGCCCTCGGCCTGTGGGCTGGGGAGGCCGCCCGGCGTTTCCACACCCGGGTCCCCGCGGCCGCCACCCCGCCCGCTGGGCGGCCCCTGGCCCCCAGGTGGGTCCCCGGCGGCGATGGGGGGCCTCTGAACGCGGTAGGCGGGTCCAGGAAAGAATTCCTACTAATCGGAAGCACTCTCACTGCTTAAAAGACGCCATCGATAGTCATCTGTTGCCCATTACATCTATTTTCAATTGCCTTTATTTCTGTTATTCCTAAAATCAGAAATAGCAAAGCTCAAGTAAAGTTTTTCATTACTTTGTTTATAGTTGAACAAACTATAATTGTGTATGTTCAGAATAGGATACGGCTAGAAATGTTGGTGATACAGACTTAACTTGGACTTCTCCTTGACTCTGTAGCCACCTTCGTTCCCCCCCCCCCTCCCCCCCCACAGCCCCCGCTGTTCCTCTGCTTTTTCTCCCAAAGGACCTGAATTTAGACTGCCAAGTGCTTTTTATCTTTCCCGGGTTCTTGCGGTTTTCCTGGCGCGAGCCCATGGGGTCCGTGTCATCTGATGGACCCGCACTGGCATTGGGATGTGTGTTGTTCAATAAATTGCCTCCCAACCTGACTGGTTTGGCTCCTGGATAGAGTGTCGGCCTGCGGACTGAAGGGTCCCGGGTTCGATTCCGGTCAAGGGCATGTACCTTGGTTGCAGGCACATACATCCCCACTGAGAGGTGTGCAGGAGGTAGCTGATCGATGTTTCTCTCTCATTGATGTTTCTAACTCTCTATTCCTCCCCCTTCCTCTCTGTAAAAAAGTAATAAAGTATATTTTAAAAAATAGAATAAAATGTATTAAAAAAAATAAATTGCCTCCCAAAAGTTTTCTATGGATTGGAAAAGAACTGCTTCTGCACGGGTGACACATATGAATGAAGTACAAAGTCAAAAGGACAGCTTTTTGTGTGAGTGGGCAGGTGGCAGAGCTAGGGCACCGTATTGTTTCATCGAATTTCAGTTTTCTGTAGGCAGTGAAGGTAACGTTTAACCTACTAGTGAAAATACCAAAACACCTTTGCGATTTAAGTTTTAATTCCTTTTACATACATTGAGCTCCTTCCTGTGCTTTGTTTTAACCAACGGTGAGCAACATTTTCTGCAAGGCAGAAACACCAGGCTGCTGAGAATGCTCACAGGTTGGTTTGTGTTTTTTCTAAAACCATCCCAAGTAAAAATAGCCATTTAGTTTCTTTGGGAGGAACTTAAATTCTTGGAACTCAGATAACCAGAGCTTACGTTCTTAGAAGTCAGGTGGCCTGCTTTTATAGGATAGAATAGCAGGAAACGGGCACCACGACAGAAATTGGGAAATCACTTAGAGGCGAGTGGTAGTTTGGCCTCTGGATCCTTAGCGGTTCTGGCTGTCTCTCCAGTCTCCTCAGTAGATCGGCCCTTTTAGGTTCTTCAAACCACAGGGCTCCCTATTTCTTGCATCAGCTATTCAGTCCTTCTACCCAAAAGTGCTTCCTTCCTCTCTTCCTCTTGTCAGCTCTCACATGACTTTCAGATTTCAGCTGTTTCTCTGCAGTAAAGCTACTTAAGAACTCTTTAGAAAAAAAAAAAAAAAAGAACTCTTTAGAGCAGAAAAGAATGAATACTAACCTGAAGCATTCTTACTGCTTAAAAGACACCATGGATATTCATCTGTTGCCCATTATTAAATCTTATTTTCCGTTGCCTTTATTTATTTTTTCTTCCTAATCAGAAATAACAAAGCTCAAGTAAAGCTTTTCATTACCGTATTTATAGTGGAACAAACGGTAGTCGTGTGTATCTTGGGAATAGAATACAGCTAGAAATCTTGGTGATGGATAGACTTAACCTGGACTTACAGAAGAGGGGAAGATGAACTTGCCTTGCCAGGTTGTTAGACTATTCCTGCTGGTTCTCCATCATCCATAAGGAGGAAGAGGAAAAGAATAAAAACGAATGTCTCTTCTGAACTCTTATTAGTTTGTTTATGGGGAACTGGTAATATTGTAAGAATGCTTTCTTTAATATACATTTTAAACATTATTTTTTAATTTCATTTTTTATGGTTGTCTTCTTGTTCCACGAGTCACACAGAAAGCCCCAAGTGAATTAAAACTGTCATCCAGCCTGGGGCAGCAAGCAAAGTCTTATTTGCCTTAACTCAAATTCTGTGTTTAGGTTGTTTTTAGACTAGAGGCCCGGTGCACGAAATTGGTGCACAGAGGGTCCCTAGGCCTGGCTGGTGATCAGGGCCAGTCTGTGGGGCGACTGGTGGGGCCATTGGGGCCAGCGCTGCGCTGATGCCTGTCATGTTCTGTGCCACCTCCCAGTCGGTGGAACTCCTGCCTGTGGGGACAATTTGCATATTAGCCTTTTATTATGTAGGATGATTTTTTTTTTTAAATTAAATAGAATTTCATGCCCTAGCCGGTTTGGCTCAGTAGATAGAGCGTCGGCCTATGGACCCAAGGGTCCCAGCCTATTCCGGTCAAGGGCACGTACCTTGGTGAAGCGAGGGGTGCACAGGGGATGTGCAAGAGGCAACCAATCGATGTGTTTCTCTCACATTGATGTTTCTGTCTCTCCCTCTCTCTCCCACTCTCTCTAAAAATCAATGGAAAAATATCCTCAAGTGAGAATTAAAAAAAGAAAAAAAAAAGAAAAAAAAGAAAAAGAATTTCAGAGTTCCAATAACTGTAATGGAGAAATTCATAATCAGAAGAGGAGATACTTTAACAAGGGACCTGCATGCCCTCTGACATTTTAGTCAAAATGTAGTGCATTTTTGTGTTTGGGTATGTGATTCTGAACTCATATATCTTATCAGATTCTCAAAGACTTCAAAGAGAAAGGAACCTTGCTTAAAACTTAAAAGTCAGAGACTGTTTACTTAGGAATCCTTAGAATCCTAGGAAGTTGAAATGGATTTCTTTTGAGATTCTTTCCACTCTTAAGATTTTTTTTTACAAATTTCTGAGGCTCTGTGGGACGTGCTGGTACAGAACTGAACTCCAAAGGGGTAGAGAGTGGAGCCTGCAAACCTAGAAGGGGAGTTTAGAGACAGAAGAGGGTGACTAGCTCTTGAGTGATATGAGTTGGAGTTGTACAGCTTTGTCTTCATTCAGGTGTGATCGTCATTTTGTTCAAAACATAATCATCCTCCAGAGCTGAAGAAGAATAAAGGTTCAGCTAGGAATTCACTATAAGAAGTCATTGCAGACATAAATTTATGCATTGTTTATTACCAGTTTGTTTTATCTTTATTTTTACCTTTTAAAATATATTTTATTGATTTTTTACAAAGAGGAAGGGAGAGGTATAGAGTTAGAAACACTGATGAGAGAGAAACATCGATCAACTGCCTCCTGCACACCCCCCACTGGGGATGTGCCCGCAACCAAGGCACATAGGCCCCTGACTGGAATCCAACCTGAGACCTTTCAGTCTGCAGGCCAACGCTCTATCCACTGAGCCGAACCGGTTTCGGCAGTTTGTTTTATCTTTAGATTGGTCCTTATACCCATGTATTTTATTTTGTGAGGTTTTTGGTTGTTACTGTTACTTTTGGAAGAGATTGTTTTTGTTTGAAGGGGTGAATTGGCCTTTGACAACCTAATTCCCATCTATATAGTAAGCTGGTGCAGTGACCTGAATATGTGTAATATTCTCTCTGCAACAAGCTGACATTGTGTTTATGGTACCAGTTGAATGTCCTAAGGGCTGCACAGTACTGTGATTATAATGACTCTTCAAGCAAGCAGTTTGATTGGGAATTCACCAGCGATTTAAATTTATTAAATTAAAGATAATGTTACTCTATAAGCGCCTCCTAGACAAATCACTTAGAAGCAGTTTATCTTATGCTAGTGCTCTTTTCATTCTTTAAAATGTGAAAATGGCATGTACTCAATTTAAATGCTCCATTTTTACATGAGGAAGATCCAAGATGTCAACAGAATTTATCTTTGAACCTTTGTGAGAGTAAATGTTTGCATAAGGCAGAGGTAGGTGGCAACCTTTTTCTGCCAAGGTCCATTTAGATATTTCTAACATCATTCACTTAATATAATTCACGTAATATAAATGTATGTTGCTATCCATAAAACTCCTAGATTTATCGAATTTTGAGTCCCCCTGGCAGTTGATTTCGAGAGCCTTGTATGGCCCCCCGGGCTGGCTGTTCGACAGATTTGTTTACTTGAACCTTGAGTATGACTATACGTTCATTCATTCACAAATTAACATAATTTTGTAGATGGAGTTTTATAATTGGTGGCAAACATTAAAAAGCTTTTTTTATTAAGACATTTTTTTCATAATCCACTTTAAACAAATGATGGAGAATTAATACTTAATGCAATGACTGTTCATTTTAAGGAAGACTTGAAGTTTCAGAAAAGGTAGCGAAATTGCGATGGAGAGAGGCACAGGGTAGTGATTATCTGAATGTCTAAATCACTGGAACTGTAAGACCAGACTTTAGTCACGAAGCCTTCCCAGATGTGCTGACCCTGGGAAATTGTTTTAATGTGTGATTTAACAGCAAAGGGGGAAATGCACATGACTATGGTTGTAACCTCAAAAACCCAACCTTACAGGGAAAACCTACACAAACATATTTGGTCGCTAAATGAACTTAATAAGGAGTGTTTTATGGGGGGAACAAGTACAGAGTAGGAGGCAGGAGACTTGGGTTCTTGTCTGTGCCTGGCTCACTTGGGACTTAACCTGTCAAGAGATTAGTTCAGTCGTTTGTAAACACGAGGGTGGGAGACCACATGCTCTCCAAAGGCCCTCCCAACTCCCAGAGCTTGATCATTCCCTTAAATATATTTGGGTAAAATTTTATGTCATCAGAAGGAGCAGCATTAGTGTCCTGTCGGTAGGGGGTTAGCTTCATATTTAGT